CCTCGGACTAATGGCAGCCAATATAGGTTTGCCACAGGTCATAAGGAATTTAGTTTGGCACGTAAACAGTCTTAATCAAAATTTGACAAAACAGACCCAGCAGATCATGGATTTCACTTTTTGCTTGTTCTCTGAACATATGTATGAAGCGTGAGTAACTGTGTTCTAACACTTCAGAGAGCTTTGGAAACAGAAGTGCTCAAGTTGAGAGTCCTCATGGAGTCATCACAACTTTTAGATGTGTCCAATACGTCTTGTTTTCTCTAGTGGTAGGATGGAGCACTGAAGTGCATGATTATTCTAATGTTTAAGAAAAATAAGGACCTGCTGTATAGCACAGGGAACCCAGTACTCTGTAATGAGTAAAGCCTATATGGGAATGTAAAGCCTTTATGGGAAAAGAATCTTAAAAGGGGTGGCTGTGTGTATATATATAACTGATTCACTTTGGTGTATACCCAAAACTAACATGACATGGTACATCAACTATACTTCAATAAAATTGAAAAAAAAAAAAACAACACAAAAACGTAAAAAGATTTTATCTGTGATTTATATTTTTTCCAATTATATTGCTGTTGATAAGGTTTTGACTTTCAGCTCAGATCTGAGAGTAGTTTGCTCTGTGTAAGTTTGTGAATATAAATAGCCAGGTCTTTTTTTTTTTTTTTTAGTGCCAGGAAAGGAAATGTTCCTATCCTTACTCTACCCACTACTTTGTACTGAAGTTGTACATCTCTTGCTTTAAAATTGTATTCTTGATTTCATATATATTTTCCTTTACTTCATTTTCAGTATCTTTAACCTGTGTTTCATGTACTTATCTCTGTTGCAGCAGGAAGAATGGTATAGAAATGAAAAACATCAACACGTGCTTCAAATGTGACAAGAAAAGAATAAAGGCTCTCATGATTGTTTGAGTTCAGACTTTACACTGGAAGGAAAGTAAACCCTGATTTCTTAGTTTCAATAGTGGCTCTTCTTGGAAACTGGAAATTTCCAAAAAAAAAGGTAAATTAAAGTCAATTATATATTTTTATTTTGGATTTGATCTTGGAAACTTTTTAGAGTCATTCCTATCTAACACTATTGTTCTTACTCAATTCTAAGGCAATCTGAGATGCCAAATAATATTTTCCTGCTCTCTTTGCAAGTAGATTTCTTATTATAATGCCTAGGTTTTTTTGTTGGTTTTTTTTTTTTAATGCCTAGGTTTTATATTTGTAGGAAAACCCCAAAAATCTGTTAGAGATTTCTTTTTTTACTTTGGAATCTTTCATTTTAAATTTGTTTTCTTGTATCTGATTTAATGCCTTATTTCTCCTATGGCTCCTTTTTAATTATTACTTTTAGAAACCAGCTTGATTCTTTATATTTGTGATTTCTATTTCCTGGTGGAGATGAATGAGAAAAACAAGACCTGCCCAAAGATGACAACTATCAACATTTTAGTATATGTCTTTTTAAAGAGCGATCTGGCTAGTACACCACAGGCTGTATCTACTTAGGTGTACCGATGGATCTTTAAGTGTCAGCATTCCACCTACTTGTAGCAGGAAGTAGGTCTTTTCCTGGCGTGACCCTCCATGAGGATTTTCATCAGAAGTCCCTGCCTGTGAGGGGCTTCTTGCATCTTTGCATTGCTGCCTGTAAGGCCTTTTGTTCCTTTAGCTCTGAGGTCTCCAGGCCTCACCATCCTTCTGCACCATTGCTGTCTGCTTCTGACCAGCTTGAGGCATACTGACATCCTCTGGACTCCTGGCCCTTGTGCAGTACATAGACCACGGCTGCAGTGGTGCAGTTGAACTCCTGTGCAGTGTCATCTTTGGTCTTCTCCCTCTGGCCATCAGGGGAACCTGTGGTTCTTATGGCCAACTCCTTGAGAAGGGTTTCTGCAGAGGAGCAGTTGGGGCCCTGGTGACAGTTATTTCCTTTATTTCAGTCATTTCCTTCCTAGAATCTTCGGGCATTTCAGGGTGGGTAGGTAGCTGGGTCTTGGAGAGGGGCTGGTGTTGGGGGGCCATGAAATGCTTAAGTACAGTCTTTCACATTACCTGGTGTCTCTGTGGAGGTGGCCAGGAGTGGGAGGTTTATTTCTCTTTAATTTAGGAGGGAAACACCTTTTACCTAATGTGAGTGTAAGCTTTGCCAGGAGGATTTCTGGCACTTGGTACAGTGTGCAATACACAGCTGTTGTTTAGTTGCTCAGTTGTGTCCGACTCTTTGTGACCTCGTGGCCTGTAGCCCACCAGGTTCCTCCGTCCATGGGACTTCCCAGGCAAGAAAACTGGAGTGGGTTGCCATTTCCTTCTCTAGGGGATCTTCCTGACCCAGGGATCAAACCCGTGACTCCTGCATTGGCAGGTGGGTTCTTTACCACTGAGCTACCAGGGAAGCCCTAGGCCTCCATAATTATTCATTGTGTGGATTGTTGAATCAACATATATCCTGCAAAGAGCTGAGTACTGGTAAGGAATCAAAAAGTATGGTACAGTGTTATCCTTAAGTTGCTTTTCTTTGATATATAGTTTTTGGTTTTTTTTTATATATTCTTTATTGGTATAGTTTGGGAGACTAGAAAGACATACAAATATAGACATCAGCTGAGAAGTGCAAAAAGTAAGTGCTGTGGGAATTCTGAGGATGGAAAGCATATTGGAATAGCTTAGCCTCGTTTCCTTTATGACGCTGGGGTGAGGAAGGGGTGTTGTCTGTCCTTGTGGTGTGGGAGTGGGAACAGATTAGACGAGAGGAGCAGGGGAGTGAGGGAAGAGGGGGCCTGCCAGGTCCAACACGAAAGCGGGGAGTGTTGGTGCAGCTGAGGTGCCCGGAGGCCCTCTGCACTGCGATTATGCACCCTCTTCACCTTGACCTCTCTACCCTGCTTTCCATGGAAACTGTCGCTGGGAACAAAATACTAGCATCTTCACTGCTTACCTATATCATAATAGCAACTGGGGAGAGCATTTTAGAAATGATTACATGGAAGAATAGTTAGGAGCAGCCTGCTCTCAGGTCCTCTGCCTTCAGCAGGTGTGAGAAGGCTTAGGGTGACCTGTTACTCCTCACGCTTAGCTTTCATCTCCTGCAACTTAGGGCGGGTGTCTTTCCTTTTGTGCCTTGTTACCTAACTGAGGGGGCATCAGGGCTGCCTGTGGGGCAGGGGAGCCAGAAACCCAAAGGGTGTTTGCTGTCTCTTGCCATCCAGAGGGATGGCATTCCTGTTTTCCAGAGGTTATCAGAATGGTTTGCACCTAATCCCAGAACCCCTTATAAAATCACAGGTTTTCCTCTTGTTGTTGTTTAGTCATTAAGTCATGTCCAACTCTGCATCCTCATGAACTGTAGCCCACCAGGCTCCTCTGTCCATGGGATTTCCCAGATAAGAACACTGGAGTGGGTTGCCATTTCCTTCTCCAGGCGATCTTCCCAACCCAGGGATTGAACCCGGGTCTCCTGCATCAGCAGGCGTATTCTTTACCACTGAGCCACGAGGGAAGCCCATAATTACTGTAGTAATGTAATAAAATATAAGCTGTAAGGGAAGGGAAGTGATTTTATTTATTTAGACCTCTTTAGAAAATTAACACGTGAATTTTGTAATCTCTAAGAATCTGAAGATGTTCTTCTTTGCTCTCTTAAAGTTAAAACATAAATAGGAAGCAGGAGAAATATCTCTATTTACATGAAAACCTGGAGCTGGGTTTGAGTAAATTGTCCAAACGTGGAGTAATTCCTACTGTGCTCTGGCTCTTTGATTTCTCTTACGCCTCTGGGCCTTGGATGAGGTTAGGGAAGAGGAAATACAGTGTCTTTCCTTTTACTCCACCCTAAGCTGTCATAACTGGTGATCTGTTTGCTCATCTCTCCTCTTTGAAGGAATCCTTTGGAGAAAAATGTGCTTTTTAAATCCACACCAGTTGCTCTTCTATACAAAGAACTCTTAATGAGATGAAACAGAAAAGCAGCAGATAGGACTGAAAGCTCATCTGCAGCTCAGAAAAGCAAGGACATGTTTTTTATTTTTTTATTGAAGGATAATTGCTTACAGAATTTTGTTGTTTTCTGTCAAACCTCAACATGAATCAGCCATAGGTATACGTATATTCCCTCCCTTTTGAACCTCCCTCCCATCTCTCTCCCCATCCCACCCCTCTATGTTGATACAGACCCCTGTTTGAGTTTCCTGAGCCACACAGCAAATTCCCGTTGGCTATCTAATTTACATATGGTAATGCAAGTTCCCATGTTACTGTTTCCATACATCTCATCCTCTCCTCCCCTCTCCCCATGTCCATAAGTCTGTTCTCCTTGTCTGTTTCTCCACTGCTGCCCTGTAAATAAATTGTTCAGTACCATTTTTCTAGATTCTGTATATATGATTAGAATACAATATTTATCTTTCTCTTTCTGACTTACTTCACTCTGTATAATAGGTTCTGGGTTCATCCACCTCATTAGAACTGACTCAAATGCCTTTCATTTTATGGCTGAGTAATATTCCATTGTGTATATGTACCATGACTACTTCATCCATTCATCTGTCAATGGACATCTAGGTTGCTTTCATGTTCTAGCTATTGTAAATAGTGCTGCAGTGAACAATGGGATACATGTGTCTTTTTCAGTTTTGGTTTCTTCAGGGTATATGCCTAGGAGTGGGGTTGCTGGGTCATATGGTGGTTTTATTCCTAGTGTTTTAAGGAATCTCCATACTGTCTTCCATAGGGGCTGTATAAATTTACATCCCTACCAACAGTGCAAGAGCATCCCCTTTTCTCCACACCCTCTCCAGCGTTTATTGTTTGTAGACGTTTTGGTGAGGGCCATTCTGACCAGTGTGAGGTGCTATCTCACTGTAGTTTTGATTTGCATTTCTCTAATAATGAGCGATGTTGAGCATCTTTTCCTGTGTTTGTTAGCCATCTGTGAAGACATGGAGTTTTGAGGAGTGAGAGAAGCCATGGGTCGGCCATGGGTGATCAAGACACAGCCCGACAATGTGGATCAGCTTCTTCAGACTGCGGCTGTCCTGCTGTCTGCTCGCAGCGCTGATGGTGGTGGCGCTGGTCATCAGTGTCACTCAGGTGGAGGTGAGCCCTCAGCATGCTGCTTCGTAAATCAGGGAGCCACATCGGGGGCTCTGGGGCTAGTGGGTCTGCAAAATATTGATCATCGGGGAGCTACTCCTGCTCACAGTTCTTGTTTTCATTTATTCAGTAAGTATTCGAGTGCCTTCCATGGTTACATACTGTGCTAGTCACCAAGGGTGCAGTGATTTCTTCACTGTTGTTCTAATAGCTCATATTCTAAATGTGCATGGGAGAAAATATGAGTTATGAGTAAGCATAAAATATAATAATAAATGATAATTAGAAATTGTGAGACATACCATATAGAGAAAAGAAAGTGGGTTACTGTATCCCACTCTTTGTGACCCCATGGACCACAGCACGCCAGGCTTCTCTGTCCTTCAGCATCTCCCAGAGCTTGCTTAAACTCATGTCCATTGAGTCATTGATGCCATCCAACCGTCTCATCCTCTGTCATCCCCTTCTCCTCCTGCCCTCAATCTTTCCCAGCATCAAGGTCTTTTCTAATTAGTCGGCTCTTCACATCAGGTGGCCAGAGTATTGGAGCTTCAGCTTCAGCATCAGTCCTTCCAATGAATATTCAGGATTGATTTCCTTTAGGATGGACTAGTTGGATCTCCTTGCAGTCCAAGGGACTCTCAGTAGCCTTCTCCAACACTACAGTTCAGTAGCTTTAGAGTGATGAAAGAAAGCCTTTCAAGGAGGGGACCTTTTATCTAACTCCTGGAAAAAAAATGAAGGAGATTTTCAGGGGAGGGAGTTCATGATGAGTTTTGTATTTATATATTTATTTTTTCTTTTATAACTGAGATTTTATTGGTTGTTTTGAGGATCACTACACAGACATTTCAATTTGTACACAATTCTTCACATACTTACCAGAAATCTAAAATATCATGTGGTTGTGATTCTTAACAGTTATTCCAGTGACTTTCCAGCTTAAAATTTGGAGCAAACTTTGCTTAATAGGATATCAAGTACCAATATCTTCAAATACGTTGTTACATCATAAGTCCCACTGATTCCCAATTTAATGTCATATACACTATATACCCAAACTGTCAATTGTTCACAGCACATTAACCAAGTTACTAGGAAAACTGGACTACCAAGACCAAAGATGTTATAGTATAGTGCACAAAATTCTGACCAGGAGAGCCAAGATCAAAAAGTGGTTTGCTGTAGGAAATAATTCTACCAAAACAATATGGGAAGAGAAGTAATTTAAAGTGTTCAAGACATTAAATGCACAACTGACTCCAAACTGCCATTTAGTATGCTTTTGTATTATAGGATATAAAAGCTACCCCCCCATCTATGGAATGTTAAGCTGACACCCAAGACAATCAAAGCCTCCCATATCCAATATCCCACTATTTTCTGGTTGTACAAAAAAATAAACAACCAGCAAAAAAGAAAAAAAGAAGCATTTATACTTAAAAAATGGGATGAGGTGGGATCCCCTCCTTTTTAAAAATGTTTCTAGAGCTACTAAAAAGCTTGCATTTACAAAATAGTTGATAAAAATATTCCCCTGGATTGTACAAGAAGGGAGACAGGGACCACTGCCAGGACTGAGTGTGTGGTTATTAATCAGACTTGGCTTCTTTCTCTTCTGCTTCCTCAGAGGCTGGGCTCTCCTCGTTTTTAGTCTCTCCATTTTCTGCAGGCAAGTCTTTAGTCTCGTGGTTGGCCACTTCAGCCTATTTTCCCTTTGCGCCTCTTTTCCCTTTTGTTTGCACTTTTTGGTTTGGAGATTTATCCTTTTCCGCCGCCTCTTTTGGCTTCGTTTCCGCCTCTGCAGGAGCCGGTTTAGGTGACCACCTCGCCGACCTCCTCTGGGCCCCTCCTTCGCCGCCCCTCGGCGGAGCTGACCTTCCTCTCGGCATCGTGGCGGCGGGGCGGGCCAGAGCCTTCGCGGAGCTGAGTAGCCTGACCGCGGCCGCTCCTCCCGCCGCCCGAGCTGCTGGGACCCGCGGCGGGGGTGGTGGATGACGAGTGTTTCAAAGCCTGTGTGTGGCTCTCAAGGTGGGGACCGCATATTATGGAACCCTTACAGCGCCTCGTGCCGAGAAGGTATTTAGTAATAGTCCCCGTTTCCCTTCTCTGCTAAAAATTCCCTTCATGAACTCACGAATCACCGAAATTTATGGAGTGTTTCCTATCTAAAATGATGCTGCTGTTTTAACTTTGTTGGCTTGCGGTACTTCTCAGGGGACAGGTCCGAGTTAATTCTGCTATCTCTTTGCTCTTTGGATTCTGCTGTGCTCCGACTGTTTGTCCAACATCCCGGCCCCGTGGGAGTTCAGGTTACTGGTCTCTTTGATCCTTTCAGGAGTCTCTCTCCCCGGCCTCCGGGAGTTTGCTTACACACGTCCGCTCTTAGTTCTCTGCTGCTTACTTACTTAGGCCTCTCTGCAGATCTCCTGAGCTTTCTCTGTGTGAGCTCTCTTCCCCTGTTACTTTCCTGTGGATTCTAATCAGCTGGAAGACTCTCAGCGCCATCTGCTCAATTTAGGGGGTTCGCTAGGCTCCTGCCGGGTTCTGGCCTGCGGCTGCAGGCTGGAGATGCTCAAGGCTGTCCACAGAGGGCACACACTCACAGCAGTCATCTCCTATATTCCCCATCTTTCAGGTCGTCAGCAACGGGCAATCGGTCATAGGAATCATTTCCTTTATCCCCCATCTTTCAGGCATCATTTCTTTCATTGTCTAACGTGTTGTGTCTGGAGAACCACTGTTTCAGGTGGAAGAGTAAATCTCACCATTTCTCTCTCTTGGTTGCAAGCAGAAGTCTGGGAGACTTGAAACTGAAGGAAAGACTGAAGCTGGAGAGAAGGTTTCATGGACCAAGGGGAGCTGGAGAGGATGGGGCCTAGAGCACAGACGGAGCACATAATGATGTAGGATGAGGGACACGTTTCATAGTGTGTGTCCTTGTTATCATTTTATTATCAGCTATGTACGGGGAGGTGTGTTCCTTCCCCTGACGTAAGAGGGAAGATTGTCATAATGGGTGGCAGTGTCGATACATCTACTGCTGGAAGGTGAGACACTGAGGGAGTTCTTGTCTAGAAGGGAGGTGGAAGGTGGGAGGAGGGTGATGCCCAGAAGACTGGCACAGATGGGCTTGAAAGAATGGGAGTGGGGGATGGAGCTTGATCCTGCAGGATGATAGAGGGACAGGTGTGCGTGATGCTTATCTGCATTGGTTTTGTGAGGGTGTGTGTGTTACCACATTCAACAGCCTGGGTGTAAGAATAGAGAAGATGGTTGTGTATGTCCAGGAGATCTCGAATGCCTAGGGGGTAGGAAAAGGGAGAAGGAGAGACTTGAGAGGGTAAGCCATTCATTCGTGGGTGCTCAGGCCTGTCCAACTCTTTGCGACCCCATGGACTGCAACCCACCAGGCCTCTCTGTCCATGGAATTTTCCAGGCAAGAATACTGGGGTGGGTTGCCATTTCCTTCTCCATGGATAAGCCATAGCCCACATCATTAACGTTACTGCAGTCAGAAAGGAATATTAGGAATTATTGTTAGAAACCCTCTTAATAGTCCTGCTGTGGTTCTTAGAAACTTTTGGAGAATGTCAACTCACAGCTCCAACTGTCTCTGTGAACACAAACCAATCAATAATGGAGAAGGGAGGTGGCAAGTAAGAAACGATGTAGGACAGTTTTGATGTTAAAGATTATATAAACAGATCTTTTTGTGGAGTGTGGTGCAACACTTTGCCTTGTCTAAAGATGTCATCTTGTCCAGGCTGAGAATGTTGTCATGACTTTTAACCCATTCAGTTTATTGCTGTGACATTAATAGTTAAAGACGCCTGCGCTGCGGGGTGGGGAGTGGGAAAGGCTTGGCCATCTGCCATCCCTTAATGCCTGGTCCATCCTAGGTTTCTGTTTCTGTATTTTGCTTGCAATTAGAGTATCTGAGCATTTTCTGAAAAGTACAGACTCAATTTTAATTAAAAATATAACATAAGAAAATTAGCCATTATGGTGATGAGGGGAGAAAAAGCATTTTCAAATGTGCCACATTCAGAGCTGGTTAAGATAAATGAAACAGAGTTCCCAGGAGGCCTCGCGCGAAGCGGCTTGGAAGTGGGCAGCCTGGAAGTCACTCGGGCCACTGGAGCTGGCGGCGTCTCCAGCAAGCTGTGCGGATCTGGACGCCGCGGTCGTGGGGCCCGTGGGGCTGGCAGCCGGGACACCCAGGTGTGTGGCTCTGGGTGCAGGGTTGGCCTTGCGCTACGGTAGCAGGGAGTCGGTGTCCAGTCGTACCCCGAGGGCCAGCGCGGGCGAGCTACTGGGCGGCCGGCCGGGTGTGGGCACCGGCTGTTGGGGGGCGGCGGCGGCACTCTCGCCCCCTGGACCTGGCCGGATTCGTGCCCGGATGCTTCAACTTTCCAGACTAGCTACCCGGCGCCGTTGCGGAAAAGCATGGTTTGGGAGTCGGGTAGCGGTGGGTTCGCATACGGACTCTGCCTCTCGGGAGGTGCGATCTAGGGAAACCGCGCCGAACCTCAGTTTCTCCTTTCGGTCAAACTGGGGAAGAATAGTGTCTGTCTTATGCTGAGAATTCTGTTGAGATGTTGAGATCCGATGAATAAAGCGTTTGGTACATAGGGAAAAAAAAAAAAAAAGATAAATGAAACATAAATATTGAATGCAGCAAATAATCTTTGCATTGGTAACAGGTCTCCTCACGTTTTGTTCCACTTTCAGGTTAGTATTCTTTATATTGTATATGGGGAGTGTTTTGCAATTTAAGAAAGAAATATTTCCTTTGTCACAACTATTACATTTTTACTTAGTTTTCCAACATAAAATGTGATTAGATACTTTAAGCTCTTCCACTTCTGAAACATTAATAAATATTTATTGAATGAAAGTTGAATATATTAAAAATAATTCATGGGGCTTTTGAAAAATGAAAAATGCAAATCCTAAGACTTCTTGCCTGCTCCATCTCAGCTGTATCACAACACAATCCC